CCTATCAGCTGCCGGGACTGCCCTGCATCTGGGCAGGCAGCGCTGCCTTTCCCTGGAGTCCAGCCCAGAGCTGCAGGCAGCTCCAGACCTCGTCCGCCTGCCCGGAGCTACAGGAGATGTTTACTCTCTGCCTGCTTTATGCAGGGTGTGTGAATGAAAGGAAACCTTAAACAGCTTCCCTGGGCAAGGCGTGCCACGAGGTTTGGGAGGGAGATGAGCATCCCCAGGAGGAGCTGTGCCTGCATCCCCGGGGGACCAGCTCCATCACGGTGGGTCCTGCCCCACCGTGACCCTCTGCTCCCCAGCTCACTCTTCTGTGTCTGATGCCATTACACCAATTTACACCCCAGCTTTGTAAGGAAAACTGGAGCACCTGGCTTCCCCCAACACCAGGGACCGACTTCCTGCATTTGCTAACTGCTCTCACAGCAATTTGGGAAGCTGAGCTTTGCTTGTGGCAAACAGCTTAATTAGGACACAGCGCTCCCCTCGTTTACCGTGAGCAAGAAAAGACGGTTTGACAGGATTTTGAGAAGAGTGCTAAACAAATCACATAGCCAAAGAGATACATATTGCAATAATCTGACTACCAAGGCTGTTCTCTTGCTCAGTAAAACACTCCCTCTGTGTCTAAGCAGGATCTTAGATATTAAAGTAAACCTGTTTCTCATCTTCATCGAAGCAAATATTAATGCTATTCACACGTTTTTTTCTCCCTGACAGGAATGTAAAGAGTGAGCAAGATGGCAAGACCGAAGTGGAAAACTGTTCTGCCTGGTGGGACTAAGATCCCTGCTGCCCACACACTGTGCTTGCCCAGGGGTACAGAGAATTATCCACTCTAGTAACTCGCCTGAAATGATGATTAGATTAAACTCTATGAAGAAAGCCAGAAAAGCATTTTGAATCCAAACTTGGATTAATTTTGTGCAGAAAAGGTAATGACTACAGATGCAGTGTTTGAGCCTGGATATCAGGAATGCATGATCTTCACTGGAAGCCAGAAATTGATTGCTAACTTGTCTTCCAGCGGAGATATGGTCCTGACAAAAGCAATTAGTTTATTGTCAGGAGCCAGGCATCAGCTGGGCTGCTCCTTATGTAAGTGTGTTTGAGAGCCCTGTGCGGCCCACTGCGTTCGAACAGGGAGCGGGTCAATAGATACCAATTAACATCACAAAGAGACCCTGTTCCAGGGCCTGTCGGTACAATGATGCCAGGAGCTCCAACACCGCCTGGATCCAAATACTTTCTTCTCCAAAAGGATAGAGAAGTTGCATAAAATCAGAAAGATGTGGCCTGCTATGCAATGAAAATGTGAAAAATGCAAGTGCTCAGCAGTGCCAATACCCCCTAAAAAGTGCTGGTTTAGCCAGAAAACCACCGTGTGGGAAATGTCCCAGGTGCAGGTCCACAAAATAAATTCCAAGTATTCCGTTGGCCCGGGAACTGAGACTCTTTGGAAAAATTCTCCTCCTTCAGCTCAGTGGTGTATGTAACAGCAAAGACGGATTTTTTTCTTTTCCCTCTTTCAAAGCAGTTTGTTGGATTTTATAGCAGTTCAGACCCAGCAACCACCAGCTTCCAGCAATGCTCTACTTTGAGAAGGACAATTAAACCTGCCCGCCCACAGCTCCCTCCCCCATCATTCAGCCATAAATAAAGGCTCCCAAATCTTACAAACTCATGAGAAAGAAAAAAACCCCCAACCCAGAACCACTCAGACAGACACTATCACATAGAAGTGTTCAAAGAACATGTAGATATGGCACTTAGGGACATGGTTTAGTAGTGGACCTGGTAGTGTTAAGTTTATGGTTGGACTCAGTCTTCGAGGTCTTTTCCAACCTTTATGATTCTATGTTGTAGGGCCAGACAATGTTTTATGTGTGCCTAAGTCCACCAGCACCTGTGGTGATCATGTGTGTGTGGGGTGAAAGTGAGGAGCAGGGATATAAAGGCAAATTTAAGTGTTTCCTGTTAGTTGGAGGTTCAACTGAACCTCGAGTCCAGTTGAATTGAAGATCTGGACACCTTGGTTACAAAATGGGAGAAGGAAGTGTCACAAGACTGGGAAACCAGTTATGGATGGATCTCAGGTTCCATTCCTGATTTTCAGTCTTACCAGATGATAAAAGAATGGATTTCTGGAGTATCTTCTTTAAGAGAAACATGCCCTCCTAGCTGAAGGGCTGTGCTTTTGAAAATAATATTCACACGAGCTGTTATCTTTGCAGTTCTTGGTAATTTTTTGTAAGAAAACTTAACTGATATATAGGACACATGGCCTGGACCTTCTCCAAACATTAATTTTACAATGTTTGAGCTGATAACTAGAAGTAAATCCATTATCAGAGTTCAACAAAACTGATGGATGAAGATACTATTCAGTCACTTCTAAAGATAGCAACTACCACCCCAGTGAAACCAGCCGACACTTTCACTCCCCCATCCTCATATTCAGCCTAGAATCTTCTGTGAAGAGGTTTCTGCTTGGCCAGACCATGGGGAAAACTCAATAATTTTTCCAGGTATGGCAATACCAAATTTTCCAAGCATCTTCCCTAAGCATGGCAGCTGAAATGATGCTTGAGTGGCAGGTTTATTTACAATGGCACCAACTCCAACTTTGAACACTGATGAGTATTTTGGCTCCCATTGACAGGGGATTGAGAACTGGCTGAGCTGTAAATCCCAGAGAGTTGTGATCAGTGACATAGAGGCTAGTTGGAGGCCTGTAACTAGTGGTATCCCCCTAGGTTGTATACTGGGCCCAGTATTTTTCAACTTACTGCTCAGTGACTTGCATGAGGGGACAGAGTTGTCTTCTGAGCAATTTCACTGATGATACAAAAATGAGAGGAGTTGCTGATACCTCGGAGGGCTGTGCTGCCCTTCAGAGGGACCTCAGCAGGTTGGAGATATGGGCAGCGAAGAAAAATTCAGCAGGGAAAAATGCAGGGTCCTGCACCTGGGGAGGAATAACCCCAAGCATCACTACAGGTTAAGCACTGACCTGTAGTAAGTAGCTCTGCAGAGAAGGACCTAGGAGTCCTGGTGGACAACAAGCTGTCCATGAACCAGCAGTGTGCCCTTGTGGCCAAGAAGGCCAATGGAATCCTAAGATGCATTAGGAAGAGTATTGTCAGCAGGTCAAGGGAGGTGATCCTGCCCCTCTACTCAGCCCTCATGAGGCCACAACTAGGGTATTCTGTCCTATTCTGGCTCCTCAGTATAAGAGAGACATGGAGCTCCTGGAGCATGTCCAGTGAAGAGCAACAGAGATGATTAAGGGACTGGAACATCTCTCTTACAAGGGAAGGCTGAGAGAGTTGGGCTTGTTCAGCCTTGAGAAGAGACAACAGAGGAGACCTCATCAATGTACACAAGTATGTGAAGTGGGGTGCCAAGAAGATGGAGCAAGGCTCTTCTCAGTGGTGCAAACCCATAAAACAAGAGGTAATGGGCAGGAACCGATGCACAGAAAGTTCCACATGAATACAAGGAAGAACTTCTTTACTGTGTGAGTGACCACACACTGGAACAGATTTTTCAGAGAGGTCATCTCACTGGAGATATTCAGGAACCAACTGGACACAATCCTGTGCCAGCAGTGTTGTGGCCAAGAAGGCCAATGGAATCCTAAGATGCATTAGGAAGAGTATTGTCAGCAGGTCAAGGGAGGTGATCCTGCCCCTCTACTCAGCCCTCATGAGGCCACAACTAGGGTATTCTGTCCTATTCTGGCTCCTCAGTATAAGAGAGACAAGATGCATTAGGAAGAGTATTGTCAGCAGGTCAAGGGAGGTGATCCTGCCCCTCTACTCAGCCCTCATGAGGCCACAACTAGGGTATTCTGTCCTATTCTGGCTCCTCAGTATAAGAGAGACATGGAGCTCCTGGAGCATGTCCAGTGAAGAGCAACAGAGATGATTAAGGGACTGGAACATCTCTCTTACAAGGGAAGGCTGAGAGAGTTGGGCTTGTTCAGCCTTGAGAAGAGACAACAGAGGAGACCTCATCAATGTACACAAGTATGTGAAGTGGGGTGCCAAGAAGATGGAGCAAGGCTCTTCTCAGTGGTGCAAACCCATAAAACAAGAGGTAATGGGCAGGAACCGATGCACAGAAAGTTCCACATGAATACAAGGAAGAACTTCTTTACTGTGTGAGTGACCACACACTGGAACAGATTTTTCAGAGAGGTCATCTCACTGGAGATATTCAGGAACCAACTGGACACAATCCTGTGCCATGTGCTCTAGGATGACCCTGATTCAGAAGGGATGCTGGACCAGATGATCCAATTCCAACCTGATCAATTCTGTGATCCCAAGCACCTGGCCAAGCTAGAGAAATTTCCAAAAGCCAGGTGGAATCAGACCAGGAGCATCCACCAGCAGCTCCAGCCCATCTCCAAGCCACAGGCATAGAGGTCACAAGGCCCTTATTCACAGGAGCGTAACAAAAGCAGCACAGCTTCAACAAACATATTGCTGCTGATCCCAGGAATTTCATGAATGCCTCTGCCTCTCCCCCCATCCTTCTGCAATCATCTTGGAGTCATGAGATCTCTCAGGGCTGGGATGGCATTCCTTCTCCCTTCGGTTTCTTAGCAGTTATACAAAGACATCTTATCACTCGCATCACACTGAAGAAGACAGAAGGCAAGCAGGACAGGGAAGGGGTGTACAATGCTGCTGCTATTTCTGTACATGACTCACAAGGGATCACTATGGATTTCATCTATTAATGCAACAGTTAATTTATGTTATGGCATGACCACAT